ATTATATGTAATAACATAATAGTAAGGCCAAAATTTCATCACTTAAATATGTTTCTCTAAATATGTTTCTAGAGACTATAGAACTTAAAAAATTGACTAAAATTTTATTAGGAAAAAATCCAGTTAAATCCAAGTCTTAAAGCAAATATGATACATATTAACAATGATTAATTCTGGATATACAAGTATTTATTATATTATTCTAAGTATTTCTCCTCATGTAAATATTTTTCAAAACTAAAATAAAAATCCATTTTCATTATAAATATTTCTTCTGTCAGTTTTAGCTACAAGTAAGGCTACATGACTCCAGGCCAGGGCTTCTCAGCTCTGGCTCTCCTGACACACTGGGCTGGGTATTTACAGTGGGGACCGTACTGTGCACTGTAGGGCGTTGAGCCACATCTGGCCTCTACCCACTAAATGCCACTGGGACCACCCTCCTAGCTATAATAGCCAAAAATGTCTCAACATTGCCCGGTGTCTCAGTGGTGGGGATAGAGGCATAAAAAAATCATCCTAGTTGAGAATCACTTATGTAAGCCATGGATAAAGCCTAATGTCAGTGGTGGGGATAGAGGCATAAAAAATCATCCTGGTTGAGAATCACTTATGTAAGCCATGGATAAAGCCTAATGTCAGGACTGTAAAGGTTCCCTGGCCTGTCAGGGCTACGCTGACAGTCCGTGCCTGACCTTTACCAGGGAAGGCATCTCTGCCTGACGAATACCAGTATGTTCTTATTCAAAACAAATATAATTTTCCTTTCCATGCCTACAGTATTACTGTAGTTCATGAGCCTGGCAGGTACCTTATCTGGAAGAAAAGAAGAGAATGCTGCTCTTGTATCAACACACAATTCATGTGTTTCTGGCAATGCACAACCAAATCGTCAATTCCTTGCATCAAAAGTACCAAGGTGACAGACTATTTAAATACACCTCCTTCAATAATGACTAAGACTGCTCAAAAAAGAGCAGAATCTATAGCTGGTTTGAATCACCATGAAGTATCACTTGTAAGTAAAGGAGAAAAAGGGAAACAAAATCAGGTGCTTACAGGTACATAACGACAGTGGCCCCCATGACCATGAGGAATCTGCTCAGGGAGGAGTAGAAGTAGAGGATACTGAGAAAAACGGAAAATGTGGCTGCTGAATAGGTCCAATCCAACCAATCTCGATTTATTTCATCATCTTCTTCCACAATAGGGCCACCTTGTGCATTCATCCGCAAATTTTGATTGGCCCCAGGATTAACCACCACCTGAGGAGCAGCATTCTGATTGGCTGGCTGGTTTTCAGCTGGAAACTGGTTGTGAATAGGGGCTGGAGCAGGCGCAGAAACCACAGGTATCTCTTGTGTACTTGGTGGGGGAACAAAAGCCCCAGATGCAGCAGTGGCTGCCAAACTGAAATAGAAATGACAGAGACATAATGTTGAGAGCAAAGCACCATGAAGGCCATGGTTCTCATACTTTATTTACAGGAGTCTTCTAATGTTGAGAACTGTAAATAGGTAAATAAAAACTTGCTTTTTCTTTAACTTAGTGAAAAACTTCTTTACTAACAATCATATCTATAAGTAAATGCCTTTTCTGTTCCTAAGAAAAGTCACATGGTAAACTTCATCTGGAGTTCTGGAATTAAACATCAAGATCACTATAAAAGTATGGGACAGCAGCTAATTAGAATTTTCACAAAACTTTAAAGATACCACACCTCCCAGGAAGTAACATATTCTAAAAAAAGTCATCAAACTATGCATCACACACAAGTACAAATTAGGTGGTAGTTACCACTTACACTCTACTCTACCCTCTGGACCAGACAGAGCAGGGCTCTGCCAAAACTGATGAAAATATACTCATCCCTATACTCCTAACTTTTTAAGTAACAAAGATGGGAGTTCCCTAAATTCTGGGAGCCCTGGACACACCACTCATGGCAGGGAGGGACTCACTATTGCATGTAGTACTGCCGTGCGTAGATCTGCTGGAACCAGGAGAGCTGCAGCCACCCATAGGTCGTGTAGCCAGAGAAACCAGGCCCCAGGCCTTGGAATGCTGGCTGAACAGCATCAGGCCTACGGAAGATTTTTTTAAATGCTCATTTTGAGTTGGTTTAGCACAAATAAATGAAAATGAAGTTTAAATGACAGTTAGGAACTCAAATCAAAGAGACAGAAGGTCTTCTTTCTGACCACCACCTAGCTCACTGCTGTGTGACGCACCCACGTAGCACGAGCACAGACGTGCTGACCGATAAGGCCTTCCCAGTAGCTTGAACCCAAGGGAATGTAGAGCCCCCTTGCCTGGCACCAGGGTTTCTCACGATGTCAGCACTATGATGTATAAAAAAGCTGGGCCTTTTAGGCTAAGTGGATCCCCACCCCCGTTTTTAATTTGCCGAGTCTCACTGCAGCTCTAGACCCACCATTCATCCTTCAGAGAGTAGCTCTACAGAAGCCACATTTCTCCCAAAGCTTTTCCTGAAGGAAATACCAGCCCTCCCACACCTAGATCTGTGCTATACAGGGGGTTGTGTGTGCACATGTCATCACCATACATGCTTGTGTCCACTGTGCCCCATACAGACTGCTGGGCTGTCATCTCACTGGATCCCCAACAACCTCATGTGGAGGGAGGTCTACCCAGCATTTTACAGAAGGGAGACCAAGTACAGCTCAGGGAAGACAAGGGATCTGCACAAGGTCATTGAGTTATTAAGTAGCAGGGTTGTATTTGAGGCCTGACACCAAAAACATGCTTCTTAAACAGCCGAGGGTAAGGCACAAGGGTGTCATCTTTGGCTTTGTGCACCTTACACAGCAAACTCCTTTGCAGCAATTTACACAACTGAAACCAACAGAATTGCAGGAAGATCAGGAGTTGGTTATGTGGTATTCTCTACTGGTCAGTCCAAATTCTTAAGGTTATATGCACTGGCTGTTCAATAAATACTTACTGAATGAAACCAACAACTTTTATTGTGGCAAAATTCACATAGTCAATTCTCAAGTCATATAACCAGAATAAGGGAAGCAGTTTCAAGTGTTTCTATCCAATAATGAATCCAGTTATCCAATTTACATGCTTAGAGTTTTTCAACCGAATTCTACACCCAGAATTTTCTGAAACAGTATTCCAGTACAGGCAGGTCTTGGTATGACTGATTGCTGGAAAGTTACTGTGTGAGGAAATGAGAGGATAACAAAGTGCTTTCATCAGCTCTGATGGGGATAGAGCATTGCAGATACGCAGGGTAACTAAAAGGTCTGAACAGTTATACACTGAAGTATGTGGGGGTGAGTTGACATGGTATCTGTGAATTACTTTTAAATGCTTCAGAAAAAAAGGGAAGGGGGGAGAGATGAAACAAATATGGCAAAACTTTAATCACTATTGGGCCTGAGTTACGGCTATGTGGAGAGTCATCACACAGTTCTCTCTATTCTTGTGTACATTTAAAATTTCCATTAATGAAAAAAACAACTCTTCATTCCTCAAATTCCTGACTTCACCAACAATCAAATATTAAAAACCACTAGGGAAAAGAGGGGCAAGGGAATTGGAGGGTTATCAGTCAACAGATTGTTTCCCCACTTTCATAATAAGGTGTTCCAAGAGCTACAAAATCCAAATGCCATAGTATTTAGTCACTTCTGGATTTCACTCTAAAGAAAAGCTCTGGTCACTCTAAAGAAATGCCACCAGCACAGTCTTTGGCAGTGCATTTCTTAAACAGTCTCTTCACCTTTTGTCACCCATAGTTAGGCTATACAAAGCACAGAGTCACTTGGTAAGGCAGCTGCAGGATGCACACAACAGCTGTTTTTCCACAGTGGCACTAATTCCCTAGGTCAGCACAATGCAACACCCATGTAGCCTAAATCTTCTATACACGTGTCCCCACATCACGTGTTCCTAAAGGGCTGTGTATTAAGAAAAGTTAAATACATAAGAGATCTTTAAAGAGAAACCCTTATGAAATGAAATTTTATACATTTTAAAGTTCTATGACCATGTAGCCTAAACACATTATTCCTTGGTCATGTTGTATAAACCTGGTTCTTTATTATAACACTCACCTCGAGACATTCTCCCACCCAGAGGGAGAAAGGTTCCGAAGAACCTCCCTTTGCCTCACACCATCACTTGAGGAATCTCCCGGATACTGTCCCTGATTAAGACCAGTGGGCTGCTCTGTGGACTCCACAACCTAAATAATTGTAAAATTAATGTCAAAACAAAGGGCCTGAAGCAAGTTTCTGAAATCAAACTAAAAAGATTATTTTGCTAATGACCCCTACCCTGACCTCTGAACTATGCTGCAGTTTCATTAAAATCTTCCAATTAAGTTATCATTGGTGTGAAAGCTTGTGATAATGCTCTCTAGATCTTATGGTGTTAAATTTACTAAATTGAGAAATTAAATTTGACTAACAGCATTTATAAATACAAGGCAGCCAGCAACCTAGAGGAAAGAATTTCCTATGCTATGTTCAGATGTTTCAGGAAATACCATTGTAAGGCAAATTTAGAGTGCATCACCACATTGGAATGTATATTAATACTGCATATTCCAATCAATGTGAAATGAAATATAAACTATTTTGACTATCAAACACAATCAGTCTTTAGAGATCACTTGATAAAGACTGGTCTTTTCCTATCCTACTGAATAAATTACCACAATGAAAATTTCCAAGGAAATATATTCTTTTTACTCTTTATAAAAATTAAGGGTTCCTTAGGAGAAACTTATTATGTGCTAAGTTTAATAAAAACCCATTCGAGAGCACCTTGCTAGTTCAGTGACCTGGATACTGTAAGTCATACCACATCCCAGAAGACAGTATAATGTAAAACCCTACTTTTCCACTACAATGCTAATGGATAGTCTACTACTAAACTCTTGCTTGTATCAATAACGATACAAATTGAAAACCTGATTCTAATTCCTGATTCTCATTGGGGAAAAATCAAAATTTTACTTGACAAAAAGGTTATAAAATCTCTTAAGGGTTTTATCCTATTTCTTTTAATTCTATGGTGAGAGTCTGAATGACACAGATTTTTATAATTGTGAAAAAGCAGACATACCTTTGTGTTGGTTTCTGGCATTTTTGAAGGACTCTTCACATTGCATACCAGATGCAAAACATGCCGTTTTTCCTCCTAAAAGTAATAAGGTACCTTTAGGACCTGAATTCAACCCGGTAAGTGCTCTAAAAACATTCAAAAGATAATATATAAGTGATTTACCTTTGGAAGCAAGTCCCTGAGAGACTGGTGATCCAGCAACAGCTTCCCAGAATAAATTAACCTCTGGTCCTCTGGACGCTTATCATGGAAAGAAAGAGTAGCATAGGTCAGTACTTAGCTTCCACAAATTCTTAAACACAGAAGAAACTGCTTTATACAGAGCATTTGAATATGTGTGTTTTTTAGAATCATAGGAAAACACTTTTCAAAGGTCCCATATATAAACTTTTATTCAGAAAATGCTTACCCTCCTACACTGTTGGTGAGAATGTAAATTAGTTCAACCATTGTGGAAAGCAATATGGAGGTTCCTCGAAAAACTAAAAATAGATACCATTTGACCCAGTAATTACACTTCTAGGAATTTACCCAAAGAAAACAAGATCCCACATTCGAAAAGACATATGCACCCCTATGTTTATCTCAGCACTATTTACAATAGCCAAGATACGGAAGCAACCTAAGTGTCCATCAGTAGATGAATGGATAAAGAAGATGTGGTACATAAACACAAGGCAATATTATTCAGCCATAAGAAGAAAACAAATCCTACCATTTGCAACAACGTGGATGGAGCTAGAGGGTATTAGCTCAGTGAAATAAGCCAGGCAGAGAAACACAAGTACCAAATGATCTCCCTCATTTGTGGAGTATAACAACAAAGCAAAACTGAAGCAACAAAATAGCAGCAGACTGTCACAGACTTCAAGAAGGGACTGGCAGTTACCAAAGGGAAGGGGTTGGGGAGGGTGAGGGGTAAGGGAGGGAGGGAGAACAGTATTAAGGGGCATTATGATTAGCAGACATAATGTAGAGGGGAAGGCACTATAGCACAGAGAAGACAAGTAGTGACTCTATAGCATCTTTCTGTACTGATGGACGGTGACTGAAATGGGATGGGAGGGAGGGGACTTGATAATATTGGTGAATGTAGAAACTACAATGTTGCTCATGTGAAACCTTTATAAGATTGTCTATCAATGATACCTCAATAAAAAAAAGAATATGCTTAACTGATCTCTAACATGCAAAAAATTATGGATGGCAAATACCTCTAGGCCACAAAACCCATGGCAACCTATTTGATTTCTTAACACCCAAGGAAATTCCTTTCTGCCATTAAAAACACACATTTTGTTTGGGGCTCCTCCAGCAACTAACTTCAAAACCTGCTTTGGTCTCAGAGAATACTCAGTACTTCAAAGATCAGCCTTCACCAAACCCACCTAGCACTGTCCCACAGTAACCTGAAACAATTCTACAATTTAAGCTCTCAAAAGAGACTTTTCCCAACATACAAATGTAGTTATAGAGGAAAAGGCGTGTAAGATCTCACACAACAACCCTGTAAGACTTCGTACCCCTAGTGTAAGCGGAGGGAAGCTTGAAAGGGACTTGTCCAGGGTCACCTGCTGTTAAAGAGTCAAGATTTCAACTCCTCTTCTCCATACCAGTGATTTTAAAACCACAGAGACTCTACACACTTTTATGCAAATCTCACTTTTAAAATCTATTTTTAATTCCTTTAAAAGCTACACTTCAAAATATGTCTTCAAATGATACCTACTATAGTCAGTATGCTGGAGATCACCAACAAATGCCAGAAAAACTGATTATGCAAAATTTGGAATGAAGTTGCTCCTGCCAAGTAGCCTGAGATTATAAAAGCAAGCTGTTTAAAACAATCAAAACAGTAACCACATCTTTTATTTGCATAAATCAGGGTATTTTTTGACGTCATGCAACTAAAATTACAGAACTATATTGGATTCTGTGTTCACCATTGTTCTCACTGATTGACCTTACAGATAAATGCTACACACCCAATTTGTAAAATACTATTGTAGAGGTGGGTCCTGCATTATATTAGAGAGTTGTACACTAGAAAAGGTTTGGAAAGGAGCTGTGATTTGATTTTTCCTTTTAAAGGCCTGAATTGACACTGTGTGTTCACCCAGAAGGCTTATTTGGAAAAAAGTAAATATGCTAAGCATACAAACTTTTATAAAGTAAGGCTTCTCACATTAGAAAACATGACGCATGCTCTCCAGCGATAGTTTTTAAACACAAATTTACACACCTGGGAGACCTTTTATGTAACAGCTTTGGGTTTCAGTCCCAAACAGGAGCAATGTTCCTCACCCAGGGAAACCCTAAGGAAATCTCTTCTCCAAAACACCACCTTTTACGAAATGATGCAACTGGACACCACACCTGCTTCGCCAATGTGTGTTACCTAATTAATAGCCATTCTCACAACAATACAACCGCCTAGTTCTTCGTAAGCAACTATGATGAAATGGCAAATAGTCCCAAGGTGGATGGTAAGGAAATGGAAGCCTATTAAATAAGCAAATTACAAAAGAATAATTCAGGAAAAAAACCTCACTTCTTGCCCATTTTAAACAATCCAGAATAACGACGTGACCCACAAAGCTACATACACTGCAACTCTTCAGAGAAGGAGCAGTATCACCATCGTTTCCTGCCCTGATGCCTTCTGCCTGATGGAGGATTACACTGGTTGTTCAGTATAACACTGTTCACGCAGAATATCTGGGTAGAAAGTCAATACAGGAAGGTCCGGCGCACAGCCTCCGTCACGTCGTGTGGAGGGAGGGCGGTGCCAGGGTGATGTTGACAGATGTGTCAACCAAAACAAAGCAAGGAAGTCGACATAACTGATGGGCCTAAGTCTTCAAACCCAGACTCAAGGAGACTCCTTCCAACCTACTTCCCCTCTAAATCACATTTTATCATAAAGTGCACCGGGCTCCTCCCTGGGACCAAGTTAATGCTGTGGAGTCCAGCGCGGCAGGGAGGAGCCCATGGCGGAAGGTGGACTGGGAGGGGAAGAGCCACGTCTCGCTCCTGGGTGTGGGGCCTTAAGAACACACTGCTTGGACTCCCGCCGCGTTCCTCTAGCCTCTGGCCCCACGGTGGCACCTGCCCTCTCCTCTCCACATTGACAGGCTACACTCAGAAAATTCATTTCGCGCACTTGAAGTTTTTCACTTCTATCCAATGGGTGTGATCCTAATGCGGAACACCTAGTCACCCTGTCGTTCGGGGAAAGCTGAGGCTTAAGGGGTGAAATGACTCACCCAAGGTCAAACTGTTGCTTCAGCGGCTTGGCTAAGGCTAGAAGCCAGATCTGAGGAACAAGGAAGGGGTCTGGGGAAGTGGGGCAGGAGGGAAACAGCCGTGGGGATTCGGGAACACGGGAAGCGAGGTGACGGAGCAGGCAGCCCGTCAGGAAAGCGGGGTGAGGGCGGCCTAGGACGAGGTGACAGCCACTGGGCAAGACGAGGGGGCGCCGCGGTAGGGAAGGGAAGGTCAGTGACCACAGGCCTGGGGGAGGTGACTTAGTGAGTCCGAGCCGTCGCGGGAAGGCCGGCAAAGGGAGAGGCTATCGGGAAAAGGGAGGAGGACGCGGCATCTTTAGGGGGACGCTGGCAGCGGAAGTCAGGGGCCCTTCTCACCGGGCGCTCGGGGTAGACGCGGCTCAGATGGGCCTTGAGGTGGCCCACGCTCCAGCTGCGGTCGCCGCTCAACTCCAAGTCGCGGTGGCGCTGGTTAGGGCTCTTCACCAGCAGCGTGACGGGCTCCGGCTCGGACTCAGGCTCGACCTCCATGTCTGCTACGCGGTGGGCTCGGTTGCGCTTCAAGATGCCAGTCAGGCGGCGTCAGTCGCCCACAACGACCTCGACAACGATTTCCGTCACTGGGGCGCGAGCCCCGCTCCTCGGGCACCTTTTATAGGCACCCTGCGCCAGGGCTCTGCAGACAGAACGCTCTGTGGCTGCCGCCCATTGGCTGAAGCGGAGGCCACTGCCCCAACGTGGCCCAATCGGAGCCCGGATCCGTGGGCGGTGAGGCGGTCCGAGCACACGGGTGCGGGCTGATGCAACCCGCCGCCTTAGCGTCACTGGGAGTCGCGGCTACGGCCCTGGAGCCCGGCTCGGTGGCCATGTTTGGGTGCGCTGCGAACCACCCAGGGAGGAAGAAACGGGATAGCTCCTTAGCTCGGGTTACTCAAGGCGGCTTAGCAAGGGCCAGCGAAGCCCGCTCCCGGTTTGATGGCCTCTGCAAATGGTTTCCTCACAAAGCAGCACCCCCGCCCTTTTTGACCTTAGGCGCTGAGCCCCACTTCCCTTTTCTCTTCTCCTCCCCAGGCCCACGTCTGTCGCACAGGGGAGGCATCCCCACGCCTAACCCGGCCTCGGCTCAAACAGAGGCTGGGCGGACTCCGTTTGCCAGCCCGCCCGGAAGGGCGCCCCCAAGACACCTTGGAAGGGCAAGGAAGCAGCAAGGCTGACTCTTCCTAGGCCCGGGGATGGAGGCATCCGATTTGCTATGACCAAATTCATCTATGGCCTCAGACTTGAACGTTGCGCCTCAGGTGTGGAACATACCCCTTAATCAACAGCAAGCAGTCCACAGTCCGGCTTATGCTGGGTGATGCTCAAGAAGGTCCTCACTTTGGAAGATACTAATCCATGCTCCCTTTAAATTGGGGCTGTGATGAGGACAGCGTTCTCAGTTTCCCAAAATGTGACCACAAGGCCCCTCTGAGGTGGACACTTTCTCCCCTCTGTCTTGAAAAACAAAACTGACATTGTGCTGGCCCTATCCTTGTCCCAGTCCTGTTGAGACATCTGTTTTTTCCAGGTGTGTTGTGAGCTTGGCAACGGGAGGAGGGTACCAGGAGGAGCCTGGTCTGGTTGGTGGGTGTAGTACTACAAACCGGTTGGTGTAAACAACACAGTTTATTGTCCCACAGCTCTAGTGGCTTGAGGTTGAGATCAAGGGTTGAGCAGGGTTGGCTCCTTCAGAGGGCTGCGAGGGAGACCTGGCCCATGCCTTTCTCCTAGCTTCTGGGTGTTTGCTGGCAATCTTCGCCATTTCTTCGCGTTCGGTTGCTTCACCCCATCTCTGCCTTCATGGTCACATGACACTCTCCCTGTGTGAGAACCTTCACATTTTTCCTTCTATCCATGTGTGTCTCTGTGTCCTGATTTTCCCCCTTTTAATGAGGTCACCAGCGTGGGTAAAATTGTCCAGAAATATTTCAACTGGCTTCAGTACATTTGCATATCCTCAGGGGTGGAGAGTTCATCTCCATGTCAATGGGTAATTACCTGGGCAACCAAGGGCATGTCCGAACCTGAGAGGTTAAGGGGAGGGGCTTGTTTGCTTCTTCTGGAGCAGGGGACAGAGCCGGCGCTGGAATGCAGTTTGTAAGCAATAAACAGGTTTTGGACTTTATTTCTCCCTTTGACTGATTTTTGTTTTTAGAGGTATTTTGCCCCAGGATTTCCTCTCCCTGGATTTACACCAGTCATATTGGATTATGGTCCATCCTAATGACCTCAACTTGACCATCTGCAAAGACCCCATTTCCAAATGAAGTCACTTTCCTAGGTACTGGGGGGTTAGGACTTCAACATCTTTCTGGAGGTTATAATTCAATCCCTAACAGTGGGCTTTAATGTAATACAAAACACTGGGTTGTTTCTTTTTCAGCAGTCTTTTTATTAAGGGAGATGGAGGGCTTTAGAGATAAACTGTCCCCTTGCTCAGCTTTCCGTGATTGGCTTTCATCTGCCGAGGAGGCTCTGCTCCTTTTCATCAGGGCTGGCTTCGTGGGTGTGGGATCTAGGCAGTCACACATGGGCCCACTCTTGGTTTAATGCTCTGCTGTTACCATCTGGAAATTCTTAAGAAATTTTGAACAAGAAGCTTTGAATTTTCATTTCTCACTGGTTCCCGCAAATTATGTAGCTGGTCCTGCTTTTCATACACCAGGGTGGAAGAAAATGACTGCTTATTATCTGGCAGTCTTACAGCTTGCTAGAAACTGACCAATGGGACCAAGCCAGATAAAAGCACAGCCTTAGAGAGGCAGCCAGGTAGGAGATAACAGCTTTATTTGGGGGGTTTAAGTATAATCCAGAGAAAGAAATATCACATAGCATGGTTTCCTGTAATCTGCAGGGATGAGCACCAGGGCTTTAATGCAACATGTCCCTTTCTGCTCAGTAGTAAGAGAGTAAAGGGGTGTGGTTTTTTTTCCTAGGAAAAACACATCCAGTTTTGGGGATTCTCTCCTGAGTTATCTCCTAACAAAATAGCTCCTTTTGAAGGATTTTGGTGATTCCTATAGCATATTTGGAAAAAATTTCAAGTCAACAAACAAATAGAGAGATAAACATGAAGTGACTCTGCTCTCAGTGACCTTGCAAATAGAGGTGATAAGACAGTACAAAAATACAGAAATGAAAGACAATCCAAAAGTCGCACACTTTCTGTAGGATTTATGATTACAGAAGGATTACAAAGAGTCAAGAGGGGGAGTCAGAGAAAACTTGATGGAAGAGGTGGAATTTGAGCTAGACTTTGAAAGTTGGGTGGGATTTAAATAAAAATAATAAGGGCAGCAATTACTGACTAAGCCCAATAGGGTATCTGTATGGAGAATTTATATGGGCAAGTATAGGTCAGGGATTATACTTACAAACCCAGAGTCAAACCACCTGTTTTCTTGATTTTTTTTAAATTGTAGTATCGTTGATATACAATCTTATATTGGTTTCAAGTATACAACGCAGTGGTTCAAATTACCCATATTATAAAATCCTCACCTCCACTAGTGCAGTTACTATCTGTCGACACAGGAAGATATTACAAATTACCCATATTATAAAATCCTCACCTCCACTAGTGCAGTCACTATCTGTCGACACAGGAAGATGTTACAGAATCATTCACTATATTCTCCATGCTGTACTACTGTCTCCGTGACCAACTTATATTATGATTGAGAATTTTAAATCACCTGTTTCAAAGCTTCTGCCATTTATGAGCTGTGTGACCTTAGGCAAGTTACTTAACTTCTCTGTACCTAATTTTCCTCATCAATAAAGTAGGAAGAATAACATAGTATCTGTTTCATAGGGTTGTGGTGACGTTTAAATATTCTAACATTGCTAAAGGTCCTGGGACAGAACCAGACACTCAAATGCTCAGTAAATGTTAGCCATTTATATTTAGGGAACTGCCACAAGTCCAGTCCAGTGGTTCCCCAACCCTGTCTGTGAAACAGAATCACTCAAGGAACTCCTTTTTAAAGTGAAGATTCCTACAACACCAAGTCTTGGTGAAGATATGGAGCAGTTGGAACTCTCATACATGACTGATAGAAGTGTAAGATGGTACATGGGTCTGGCAGTTTCTGAGAAAATTAAACACACACCTATCCTATAACCCAACCATTTCACTCTTAGGGTTTTGCCCAAAAGAAGTGAAGGTCTTGTACAAGAATGTTCATGGCACCTATACACATAACAGCACAAACTGTGGGAACAGTCCAGGAGACTGGCCCAGAGACAAACTCTAGGCCAGCCATACCACGGAGTAGTACTCAGTAATAGAAAAGGAATGAACTGCTGATCCATGCAACAACATGAATGAATCTCAAAAACACACCGAGTGGAAGAACCAAACTAAGAAAGTACATTTTATATGATTCCCCTCATATGAAACTCAAGAATATGCAAAATTAAGCAATGGTGGCAGAAAACAGATAGATGGCTGCCTGGGGATGGGGGTGGCAGAGATGACCCAGAAGGGGTGTGGCAGTGGTGTGCTGAAGTCAGCGGGTACTGGTTCACAAGAAGCCTCTGTGAGCCTCTCCTCCCAACTCTGCTCAGTGACATCACATAGATAGCTTGAAATTGGCCATGATGGGAAAATTTATACCATAGAGATCAGCTAATACTAGAAAGCAGAGCTTTCCCTGCCAGGGAATCAGTTGTTAAATTTTTACCAACATACCATGAAGGGAATTTCTGGTGTGGTGAAATGTTCTATCTGGATATGGTGTGGGTCACACAAGCACAGGCATTCATCAAAATGGATCAAGCTGTACACTTAAGATTTGTACATTTCTCTGCATATACATTATACTTCAACTAAACATGTAAAAAAAAAACATGGGTGCCTGTATCCCATTTCAGGCCTACTGAATGGGGCCTGATGCATCCAAGTAGATACTGGTTCAAGGGCCAGGTTTGGAAACCACTGTTCAAGTGTGATAGTAAGTATAGGGTTTAGTTTAAATAATAATGATGTCAGCAAAAGGTAAGACAAGAAAGAATTCTTGGGACCAGCTCAGGAGAAACTTGACATGGTCACCCTTGAGAGTTTGGGCCAATTTTGTGGGCAATGGAAGGTTTTTCAGCAGTAGAAGGAACATGTTCAGAATCAGTGGATTCCGCAATATTCCAGGGGCTAGATTTGAGGGGGAGAAACTTGGTGCCAAACGACCAACTGGTTCACTGGAGAAAATGTAGATCTGCATTAGGATTGACCAAAAAGGAAATGTGGAAAAACCAAGGGAAGAAAAGACATTGTAGAAGTAAAACAGGAGGGAAAAGGGCTTGGTGATGAAGGCTGGTTCATGAATGGAGATAATGGCCGACACAGTGGGCGCTTACCATGTGCCAGATGCACAGGTTCAAGGACCTTTGCATGACTTGGCTTATTCACTCCTAACAGCTGCTTTATGAAGCAGAATGCTATTGTTATTTCCAACTCACAGCTGGAGAAACTGAAGCACAGGGAGTTTATTTTCCTGCACAAGGTCACAGAGCTATTAACACTTTAAAAGGTGTTATTTTTTAATTAACTGGTAACGAGGAATAATTTATATACAGTAAAATACACAGGTCCTAAGTATTTGCCTGTGTA